TTTCGGTTTTTCTCCGGTACCGGGAACCGAACTCACGACCTTGCGCTTGCCAGGCAGGCGCTTTTGCCGCTGAGCTAAATCCCCAGCCCCCTCGGAAAAGTATTCTTAAAATAGTAACCATCTTACCCACAAATATTTTCTTCTTTTCATTTATTTAAGTTTTCTGTAATGTTTTTCAATAAGATTTTGTGATTTTCTCCATGAAGGTTTTGTACATCTTATGTTAGATTTACTTATAAATACTTCAGGGATTTTTTTTTTTTGGCAGATATTTAATAAATATATTAACATGAAAAATTTCAATCATATAAAAAATATAATCGTGAAATTAGTTCCTACGTGCACATCACAAAACTTCATTTATTGTCACTAGAAATCAACCTGACTTTATTTGGATTCTCCCTAACTTTACATCTCTTCCCAGGTCCCCACATTGAGTTGTTTAAACAAATTATAGTCATCAGATCATTTTAGTATCTCATCAGCTATGAAGTCATATCCTATAAAGACTTAGAAATGTATCTCTAAAACACCAAGCTTAAAAAAAATCATAACACCATTTTCATACCAAGATTATTAAAGAATAGTTGCTTGTTATTAAGGAGCCATTATAGATTTCCTCGGTTTCCTTATAAATGTTATTGTTTACACAGGGTTTTTCACATAGGATCCATTGTCTCACATATTGCATTTGCTTGGTATGTCTTTTATGTTATGTTATTTTATTTTATTTTTTGAGACAGGGTCTTCCTGTGTAGTTCAGGCGGGCCTTGAACTCAAGTGGTCCTCCTGCCTCAGCCTCCCCAGTATTGCAATTATTGATATGTTTTTAAAATTCTTTTTCATCAGCAGATCCTGGGTGTGTGTATGTACTGTGTCATTTGTTCTAAGGAATTTCTCACATCCTGGTTTTGCTGATGGTATCTCTGTATTGGTCAGGATTCTTCAGAGAAATGGAACCCGTAGGAGCAGGGTTGAGAGATGGGTGAGTGGACAGGCAGGTAGATGGAACTTAAAGGAATGGCTCCCATGATTATGAAGCAGAGAAGCCCCCACCTACTGTCTGTAAGGTAGAGAGCCATGGAAGCCGGTGATGTAGTTCAGACCAGATCCAAAGACCTGCTGACCAGGGAAGGGGAGGATGTAACTCTCAGTCTGAGGCTGAGACCTGAGAACGCCCCACTGCACAAGTCCAGGGGTCCAAAGGCAAGAAGGGCCCTGGTGTTCTGAGACCCCAGGACAGGAGTAGATAGGTGCCCCTGCTGCAGGAGAACGCGAGTTTGCCTTTGCTCTGCCTCTGTTCTGTCCAGGCCCTCAGTGGGCTACATTAGCCCAGCCTTCCTGAGAGGACGGGTCTTCTCTACTCACCTTACTGATTCATGCCAACATCCAGCTGGCGTGGTGGCTCACACCTTCAATCTCAGCACCCTGGAGGCTGAGGCAGGAGGAACAGAAGTTTGAGCCCAGCCCAGGCAATTTAGTGACTCGAGAAGACCTTGTCTCAAAATAAAAAATAAAAAAGGATTGGGTATGTAGCTCAGTGTAAAAGCCCTGTGTTCAACCCTAGTGCCAAGGAAAGTAAGTAAATAAAGAAAAAAAGGGAAAAATACTTTTCTAGAAATGATAATACTGATAGACATACTCAGAAGTAATGCTTTCAGCTCTATCCAAGAACCTCGTCAAGTTGACAACTAAATTTATATGTGTACAATATATATGTAGTGTATATGTTTGCTCTTTTCTTTTCTCCTGAAGCTTTGTAAATCGGTAGTTAAGTGTAGAGATTGAAAGCTATTAAAAGCGTTTTAGGTTTTTGTTTCCTCAGGCTGGAGCAGATATGGATGGTGGTGGTGTGTCCTGTCAGGAAGCACAGGTCTGGTTGTGTCTACTTTTTATACCATTGGACTTGGTCACTAGGTGAGGTGTTTGGGGTCCTTGGTTCACTCACTGTGTGTCCCCCATCAGTCTTGCTTCTGATGGTTGGTTTTATTCAGCAGCCTATGGTGGTCTGTTATTCATTTCTGTTATTCATTATTTCATCATCACATGCAAAATCGTCATATTCTAATTATCATCTTTGGTTACCTGGAGACCTCATTCATGTGAGAAAGGCAGCACAAATGCTTGCTACATTTTTTTTAAAACAGTTTGGAGAATAATGATTTAGTTCTTTAGTTTCCTCCAGAGGCAAATAGTAAAGTTTTTCACTGCTTTCTGAGTATCATTATAAAGTTAGGAATTTTAACATTTTTATGTAAAGTTTAGAATTGGCTTCTCCTTTTTGATAAATAAGTAAATGAATAAATAAATACCTAGTAGCTTTTGATTGCATTGGAATCTATAGGTCCGTTTGGAGAGAATTGACACCTAAATACTTAATCTTCCAATCTATGAATTACATATTTCTCCCACTGAGACTTTCGAAAATTTCTCTTGGCAGTGTTTTAAGTACATTTGCTTTTCGTTTACTTACCTTGGATCTTGCAGACTTGCTAAACACATTTATTGTTTCCAGGAGAGTTCTTTTTAGACTCCTTGGGATTTTCTGTGTGGATGAATACGTTATCTGCACGTAAACACGGTTTCATTGCCTCCTTTTCAGTGTTTGTGTCCTTGCTTCCTTGTTCTTGCCCCGTTGACGGGACTGCTACTCCATTGCACCACTGGTAGGAGTGGTGAGAATGGCATTCTCTGCTTTCCCCAATTCTGCAAAGGAAAGCATTCGGTCTCCAGCCCCTTCCTGTAGATCTGGCCCTGCTGTGCAGCCTTCCTGCTCCTCCCCCAGGAAGGATGGCCTCTTGCTCTCCACCTCTCCACCTTGGCGTGGTACCTCCCTGGGTTCATGGCCAGAGGGCTCCTGGGCCTCCTCCACGGTGAACTTGGGTGCAGGGCTTTCTTGGGAGCAAGGAAACCATCCTCTCCTGCGGGGCCGACGGGCAGAGGGCTCTGCCTCCAGCCCTCTGAATGCAGGATAGTCTTGGCTCCTGGGCCTTTCTGGACTGCAGGGTTTCTGGGTCCCCCTGGCCAATAAAGGGCTGCGCGCCTCACAGGAAGTCTACAGGGAAGCAGGTGATTTAGCTGCCCGTGTTCCAACTTCGTGGACTTCCACCTGCCGGCCTTGCCTGAGTGTACAGGGACAGACCTGGGAGGGAGTGTGGAGCCCAGCAGCGGCCTGCAGGAAGACCTTAGGATTACAGCTCATTTCTTCTTTCATGGTATTCGAGTCCTCACTTCCTGCCTTGCTAACAGCGTAGTTTGGCTCTACAGGGGTGTTTGCCTTTTTTTCTATCTAGTGTATATTTGCCATATGTAATAGGTACATTGGGTAGGATCTATCACTTCTTGGTTGTTTTGATCCTTTTACTTTCTCCAAAAGGCTTGCCTTCCTGTTTCTGCAGTCTCCTTAATTTTCCCTTTAATGGATTTGTGTATACTCTGATTTCTTTGTGGCACGGTCATGATTTTCATGTTGAGCCATTGTTTGTGTTTAGTTATTTTCTGCTCACTTGCACTGCTTGTCAGCGTGCCGCAGGTTGTCTGAGTGGGTCTTGCATGCTGTGCAGTTCTGCATGTCACTGTAGGGACCCGTTCTCAAGGGCCCTCGCAGCAGCGGCTCACGCTTCCCCAGGACTGACTTGGAAATGCAGTTCTCTGTCTCCGGCTCTGCTCTCGCCCAGCCTGGTCAGAGACGAGGCGTGACCAGCAGTGTGCTGGAATAGGGCAGGGCAGTGCTGTACCTCCTGGCACCCAAGAACTCGCCTGGGCCGCGCCGGCTCAGGAGCGAGGGGCAGCAAGGTGGGTAGGTGAGGACAGCTGGCTCCAAGAGGTAGTGCCAGCCATTTAGGAAAGCTCACGCTCTTTCACGGCAGTGCCCGCCCCCCTTTTTTTCTTCTTGTTTTGATTTCAGCATATTTGTAAAATGAAAAATGAGATTACTGGTCAGTGAGATCTAAAAGTCCTGGAGCAGATGATCTAAATGAAGTGCGCTGAGTGCAGGGATTATGTCATGATCTGTGGTCTCATTTCCCAAACCTACAATGGTGTAGGTACATAGAAAATTACCTACACATCGTCAAAATAAATTTTAAGGTAAATGTTTTCAATTTTAAGTTAAATTTTTTTGTTTCCTTTTTTTTTGTCTTTGTTTTTTTGAGACAGGGTCTGGCTATGCAGTTGAGGTTAGCCTTGAGCTCACTTTGTAGCCCAGGCTGGCTTCGAACTCACAATGATCCTCCTGCCTCAGCCTTCCAAGTGCTGGGATTACAGGAGTGCACCACCGCACCTGGCTTTCCTGTTTCTAACAGTTGCTCCGTCTTGTTTTTAAAAAGCCTTAAATAAGACCTAAGTTCAGTAAAGTAGCCCCGTGCTGCTTTTTGAAAGATTTCCATATAACTGTACTTTTCTTTTCTTTTAGCTTCTATCTCTTCTTTTTGAAGATCTGTTCAAAAAATTTAATTCTGAAATGAAGAAGATCGCAGACCAGGTGATTCCCAAACAGAGAGCGGCACAGTTCGATGTCGTGAAACACATGCGGCAAGACCAGATCACCAACGGCATGGTGAACGCCATCTCCACCGTGAGTGCGCGGCTGCGCGGTGTGGGCCAGGGGGTCCGGGAGAGTGGGTGGGCAGGCATGGTTTTCAAGAGTGTACACAAATAACACATTTTCTGCCTTGAAAAGTAGTCCAAAGTTTACATGTTGTCGGTTTTATTAGTAGTGACCCTGCCCACCCCCAGCCGTGGTTTTAGTTTCCACAGTGTGATTTACTTGTGTGGTCAACTGCCATCTGAAAATATTAAATGAAAAATTCCAGAAGTAAATGATTTACAAAGTTGAAGAAACCTTTATTGTAGTGTGATTTTCCCATTTTATTATTATTGTTAACCTTCTACTGTACCTAACACATAAATTGAACTTTATCATAAATGTGTATATAGAAAATAAGATAAAATGTGTATGGTTTTGTACTTTTCTGCAGCTCCAGACATCTAAGGGGCCCCTTGGGTCATATCTCCCATGGACAAGGAAGGATTTCTGTATAACTTTCCTCCAAATTACTGTCCCTTATCTATTAGGCAGTAAGAAAATAGATGGGGGAAATCTTCTAGTTTGACTATTAGTAGCTATTCTTTTATTTTGTTTTTTTGTTTGTTTGTTTGTTTTTTTGGTTTTTCTCCGGTACCAGGAACCGAACTCACGACCTTGCGCTTGCCAGGCAGGCGCTTTTGCCGCTGAGCTAAATCCCCAGCCCCAGTAGCTATTCTTTTAGTGGATAACTTTCCTGCTTTGTTTTCTGTAATAAAATTGACATTTCAGCCAGGTTTATTAATTGACACTGCCCCGTGACCCATACAAGCACGTTTCATTTCTCGGTAGCTTATCGTCCTCGGAAGCCTGTCAGCTGTGCCCCTTGAGCGTGACTTGGTCCTGGCAGCTGCTGCACATCCAGCCTCAGGCTGTTCACTAGGGGTTTTCGGACAGGGCTTGGCCGCCTGCAGGGCGCAGCAGCTTTAGGTCTAGCTGGTGTGGTCTGGCTCGCGTTTGCCGCTAGATACAGTTACAGTATGCGTGGGACCGTGCCCGACAGAGTCTGCGGCCCAGCACGTTGCTTCTGGTCGCAAGGGAATCGTGGGGCACACTTGTTTCCATGCTGTACTAGGGACATTCACATGGGGCTTTGAGGGTAGCCTTGCGGGGCAGCTTGCAGAAGCTTGGTGCTAAACGTGTGAAGAAGCTAGGTCTGTTTTCCCTGCTTCCTGCTGCACGATTTCCAGTCCCTCTTACTGCTATTTGCAGTAGTTCTTTGGCCCTGAGGGAGGCTGCTTTATCTCCCCACAGGACTGCTTATTAGGGAAGTCAGCTGTGGGCCTCGTCAGCCGATCTGAAGGCGGCCAGGAAAGGGTCAGCCGTTGTCACTGTAGAGTGCTTTCCCCAAATCTGCCTTCTCCGAGGAGCAGTTTCCGACCGTGGGTTTCTCCCGCTCCCTGTGGGGTGCTCTTGCAGGATGCGAGCCCACGCTCTCTCCCAAGCATCTTGGCTGCTCTCCCTACTTACTTCCTGTTTGCCAGCAGCTGCTGTTTTATTTTGGCTTGGTGCTAGATATTTATTTACCTTATTTACTCTTACTCTTGGGCATAAGTCCGTTTGCTAGATTCATTCTAGTGCCAGAGACAAAAGGAGTTGAGTGAATAAGCAGCACCGGCGGACCAATGTGAGGGGTACACGTGTTATATCTGTGACTTTGTTTTGCAGTGGATAAGGTTTCTTAGAGTTTAGTTCGTTTCCATGTTATCAAGAACTCAAGATTCTCAAGTGATAGATCTTGCCGGGGATATAGCTCAGCAGCACAAGTGCCTGCCTGGCAAGTGCAAGGTCCTGAGTTCAATTCCTGGTGCCTCCCCCACCCAAAAAAAAACACCACAATCAAGTGGTAGATCTTCACTGTAACAGAGATAAAGCTACACTTTGTGAGCAGGGGAGCCCTCCCAGATCCTCGAGTCCTAATGCAACACACAAGGGATCCCCGAATCCAGAACGCTGTTGTACACTCACGGAGTCTCAGACTGGGATCCGTGCGTCCACTCCTGAAATTGCGTGTACATTGTGGTTCATGGTCCTCTACGTTTTTCTCCGGAAAGTGTTCATTGAGCTCGCTGGGTTCTTGAAGGAGCACAGAGAACCGCAGTTGCTCTTTTTCTCTTTGGAATCAGACAGTTGAGTCGGCCATTATTTCTGACATTTATTTTCTGCTTTGCTGTTTTGATGCATGCTATTCTCTACTGTTAACTCATGTTACCATGAACTTACATTTCTGGAAATATTACTTAATGTGTGCAATCAGTATGTTTAATATGAGATATTTAGTGCACAAAAGGTAAGTTTTATGTTCAGAATTTATTTATGTGAATGTTTTAATATTGACGTGATAGCCACAGAGGGCTGCGGTACTTCTTAGTGCGCACACGTGCACAGCAGGGGTGGCGAGCCAGCGTGCAGCACACTTGCTGCCGTAGGCTGTGCGTTGGCACTGAAAGCTCTAAAAGGTTTGCCACCACTCGTGTACAGTTTTTGGATTTCTCTGGCCTCGATCAAGAATTGCTATCCATCGTTTTTCTGTTGTGCTTTCTTGTAATTAAGCCCAACTTTGGGAGACCTCTGAATAACGCATCCAACATGAGATTGTCTGTGTGAGCTTCAGACTGGTTTCACCTTAAGCGTGCAGAGACTGCTGCGGTTCTGTTAGCCCATTGCTTCCCATGGTGCTCTGGTTGAAGGGGCTGCTTCAGTGTACAGCAGTTCCTCACAAGATGGCTGCTTGGCTGTGGTGAGGCTACAGTGAGGCAGTCTGAGGTGTCGCTAGATGTAGTTCACATTCATCCTATTCTGAGGAAACGCCAGCAAACGGGCTGGCTAAGATGTAACTTCCGTCATGGGATTTTGACTCCCAGAGATGCATCACAGCTGTTACTTCATAGGCAAGCAGTTTCTGTCGTGAACTTCTCAGAGTGACTGCTCAGTATCAGGCAACATATGAAAGGGTTAGGGCGGTCTCATATCTTTCATCTCTCCGCAGGGAAATTGGTCTCTGAAGAGATTTAAAATGGACCGCCAGGGTGTGACCCAAGTGCTGTCTCGCCTGTCCTATATATCTGCACTGGGCATGATGACAAGAATCTCTTCCCAGTTTGAAAAAACCAGAAAAGTGAGTGGTCCTCGCTCCCTGCAGCCGTCGCAGTGGGGAATGCTCTGTCCTTCGGATACTCCTGAAGGAGAGGTAAGGGCCCCAAGGAGTCTGGACGGGATCAGAGGTCAGATGTACTGAGGTGGAGGACTGGGGGGTTCTGCTCCTGTTCCCAGCCCTGAAGCCATTCCTTTTTATTGATGGCCACCTACCTGGCAAACAATATAGATGCAGCTTGTCAAGACTACCTTGGTATCACCCCAGAAGCCAGTCCCTGAGAAACATTTGATTCAGCATCTTACCTGCCGAGATACATGGACCACAGTCCCCTTGCTCATTGTAGCTTATCCTGAGGATCAGTGTGATGAGGAGAGAGAATGTGAGGATAGTCCAGGAACCCATCACCCCAGTGCTCCTAAAGCTTCCTGAGTAGCGCCTTCCTTTCCTGAGGTGCATCTAGGACGTCATAGGATCTCTTACGGCAGTCAGGCGTGTGTGGTCCAAGCCCTTCAGTACAGCACTTTGGAGCTGTCACCTAAACACGAAATCAGGGGCTTCTGTAGGTTCACCTCTCCATCACCTGCCGTGGCTCCTCTCTTTCATGTTACCATTGCCTGTTCACTTGATTCTGTTCCTTCTCAATCATGAACTTCTGAGGAAGAACGGTTGGTTCATCAATGTAAGGCAGGCACCTAGCACAGGCCTGGTTCAGAATGGAAGCCTCATAAATATGTGCCGAATGAAGAAATAAGCTAACTTATAAGGAGTAAAAGATGTAGGTTCTAAAGTGTAGAAATTCGTTGTAACTTGGAGGAGGTGAAAAATATTTGTCCATGCAGAATTGTGAGTCTTAGAAATTATTCTAACTTACCTTAACCATGTGGAAATGTACATTAAATACATAGTTTTTAAAATCTGCACAGTTTACTCATTTTCAACTTGGGTACACTATCCCAGAGATTGCTTCAGCTAACGTCACTAAAGTGACTACTTTGTACATTACTATAGCAGATAGTTTTTAAGAATTAAAGACAATCTTTACATACCACACATCTTTAATGTGTTTTCTATTTGCTGTATTCTGTCCTTATTGACATGTTTGTTTTTGATGGGTTTTTTTGGTTGTATGGAAGTTTAGAATTATTTGTTATTTCCTTTTCATTGTGAAATAACTCCAGACCTACAAAAAAAAATTGCAAAGATAGTGCAGAACCCTTCAACTAGAGTCCCCCGATGTGGATGTCTTACATGGCTGTGACACAGTCACCAACCTCATGAGAGTGACATGGAAAGTGGTACCATCTGGAGACATGTTTACATCCCACCTGACATCCTGCCAGTGTTGTGTTCTGATCTAGGAGCATATACTTTTTCAGCCTGGAGCAATTCCTTGGTCCTTTTTTGCCTTTCATGACCAGGAATTGTGAAGAGTTCTGGCCAGTTGTTTCCAATCAGAGTTTTGTATTTTTATGTAGCCTTATGTAGCCGCATTTATCAATATTCTCCTACATAATCATCATAATGGGTATGGTGTTCCATTGTGTGGGAATAACTGTTCATAAAATCCATTTCTTGTTGGACTTTTATGATGTCATTATTATTTATGATTATAAATAATACGATACTGAGCATTTCTGTGGCTAAATCTATTTTACATTTCACCTGAAGATAAACTTCTCTGAATGAAAATGTATGTGTATGTTAGTCTTTTTTATGAATTGCCAAAGTGCGCCTTACAAGGTTGTGCTACTTTATGTTGCCACAGCAGAGTGGTATTTTCAGACACAAGCTATTTTGTGTTACTAATGTGGATTCTTAGAACTGGCTGTGTTATGTTTTAAGGCCTGTGGTCTGGTTAAAAACTTGGCCCTGATGACACACATCACAACCGACATGGAAGACGGACCCATTGTTAAGTTAGCCAGCAACCTGGGAGTGGAGGATGTGAATTTCCTGTGTGGGGAAGAGCTGTCCTACCCAAACGTGTTTCTCGTCTTTCTCAACGGTAGGTCTGTTGGAGATGTGTTCATCCCGAGCAGGGTGAGGGAACCTGCTACTGTGCTCATATTTACAGCACAGACGTACTTCAGTTCTGGGCCCAACTGGACCTTAATGGACAGAGAGAAACCTGGGAAGGGGGACAGTTTCTCTTGGCTAGGGCCCCCCAGGTCTGAGAGCACATGTTCACCCGCACAGGGCTAACCCTGCTGAGCTTGATGCTGTGCTCCTGTTTGCAGCTGCAGGCAAGTCCTGAGCAGAAGAGATGCAGCCTAGTTAGGAGCAAGTCCATACCTGAGTCCTTCTGCAGAGATTGTGACACACACACACACACACACACACACACACACACACGCAAGTCCATACCTGAGTCCTTCTGCAGAGATTGTGACACACACACACACACACACACACACACTCGTAGGGCGTGGCATCCAGCCATTTGATCCGTGTGCTCTTGGCAACCTGGGCAAGAAGCTCTTCTCCTCTGACAGGTGTGATTAAGATATATGGTGAATATTAAAATTTTAAACATTTATTACAGTAAAAAACATATTGTCACTAATCTTGCTCAAAATACTCCCTCTTACTTGGGACACCCCCCTCCACACCACTTTCCGAAGCAGTTCTGGAAGTCCTCTTTGTGTCTTTGTAAAGTGTGATCAGAGGTGACCACTGCTGCCGAGTGCCTTCCAGTGGAAAGACAGGTTTGTGAAAACACGACGCTGTGCCCTCATCACCTCAGTCGCTGGACCTGACACCGTGCGACTTCCAGCTCTTCCCCAAAGACACAGCGACCATGAAAGGGAAATGTTTTGGATAGATTCAGGACATGAAGGCAGCCATGAAGGTGCAACTGGCGGCACTCAGGAAAGCCATCGGGAGGTGGGCGCCAGCAGTGTGCCCCTGCCTTCTCTCTGCAGTGCCCTGGTCCAGGCCCCTGTCTGATGTGCTGATCCCAGCCACTTAGCACAGGCCTCCTTTCCCTCCCGCTCACTCTGGCAGCCACTGTCTGTGGCCATGTGGGCTGCTGGGCAGGTCAGGAGCTGGGCAGGGCTGCTTGCTACCTGCCCACCTCCCTGTTCACTACATCCTTTGCCTCCAAAAGTGGGCTCTTAGCTTGCACTCTTGCCCAAGTCTCGCAGCCCTCATATGGGGCACCCCACTTTCTCTCCTCAGCACCCCAAGGATGTGAGGGAGCCAGGGTTCAGACCCGGATGGTGTGTGCTCCCTATAGAACAAGGCTGACTGCAGTGTCCTGCCAGAAACAGTGCTTGCAAGTGACCGCTTGTGCTGCTTAGGGTTCTTGCTAGGTGGACAGTGAAATTAGATTAGGATCATCTTTTACTCCTGTTTCACCTCCTTTCACTTAGGCAACATCCTCGGGGTCATTCGAGACCATAAGAAGCTGGTGCACACATTCCGACTGATGCGAAGGGCTGGGTACATCAACGAGTTCGTCTCCATCTCCACAAATCTCACAGACCGCTGTGTTTATATTTCCTCCGATGGAGGAAGGCTGTGCAGGTACGTGTTGCTAAAAATGACCTACGAGTCTCTTCACGTCATCTTTGGAAAGACGTAGACTTTTTATATTTGAAGGTGTTTTAGCCTCTTTCATTGTTAAGATAAATTTAATTTGGTTAGCAGACCCTCAAAGATTAATGGAGATGAGATGAACGGGCAGCTCCAAGATGAAGGGAGACAGTCTGAGAATGACAGACCTGTGTAGAACAGTGGCTTGTGTGCGTGTGAGCATTTGAAGTTTCTGGCCTGGTTTTCTTGGCTGTCCCGTGTAAGAGAGAACAGCTCAGGGTCGGCCTGAGGGTGGTGGTGAGGTGCGCTACCTGGTGTAGGGTGTGAGGCACGAGGTAGCGTGCATTTGTAACTGTTACCAACGCCGCCTCATTTGGCGCAGGAAAAACATTGACATGTTCTAGGTTATTCTTTTTTAGGCTTTTTCTCTTCCATTACGTCCAATATAAGAAGGCGTACTCTAGAGAAAATACTCATTTTTAGAGGTCTTTGTATCACGGCAGACCTCGGGTCAGGCGGGGAGAGCAGTGGCCTGCATTGTGTGCCATGCTGTCTCTGTCATCACCTGCATCACACCCTCAGCACACTGTGGCCATCGAAGGTCACAGTAGTGTCCCTGGCTTCCCCACCCAGAAGCTGGAGTTTTGTGGCGCTGCTGGTTTCTGTGGGAAGCTCGCTCGGTTTCTCTTCGTGACTTGTGCTCCCCCACGTGGCTATGCAGCGTCTTCTCTGTCCTCACACGGTCCTGGGCGCAGGGTGGAGCACAGGAGTGTCTGCTACGACCGGTTCCTGTCGGTGGGCCCAACCTGTCCCCAGAACACAGGCATCACATGGTCCTGGCGCAGGCCGTCCTTTGTGTGCATGTTTCCTCAGGCACTCACCACCAACAATTACGAGTTAATCTCCACCTCAAGCCACTGTGCCACTGGGTTACCAGGCGCGTGGCTTTGCTCTCTGCAAACAGCCAACCACTCTTTGATCAGTGGTGGCTTCAAGTCTCACTCACCGATGTCCATCCTGAATTGGACACTGCATCCGGCACTTTGCAGACCTCACTCCCAGTGCCTTTCAGCGTCAGGGCCAGTGCTTGCTTGCCTTCTCTCTCCTCGGTGTCACAGCAGCCCCTCTACACCTGCCAGACGTGGCCAGGACCCATGCGTATTGTGTTGTTCTGAGCTGGTGCCTGAGATGCTGCTGAATAACTCCCAAGTGGGTAAGGTGTACAGCGTGGACACTAGCTGAAGGCAGGAAGATGACGTGTACAGCTCGGGCACTCTAGGTGAAAGGATGCAGATGATGTGTGCAGCATGGACACTAGGTGAAGGCCTGCAGATAATGAGGAGAGCGTGGACACTTTAGATGAAGGCGGGCAGACGATGTGTGCGGCGTGGACACGATAGGTACGAGGCTGGTTCATATCTGAGGCGGAGCAGAGTGAGGTGGCGCAAGATTCCACCGTGCTTCTCAGCTCAGCAGGCAGTTTAGAACTCGTGAATTATTTATTTATGGAATTTTCCCCCTACTATTTCTGGGCCCCTGTTGACCTTGGGTAGCTGAAATCACCAAAAGCAAAACCACTAAAACCACAGATAAGTGGGGATGACTATGTACCACACATTCCCGGTGTGAAATTAGGAGGTGTTTCTGGAGTGACCATTTGTACAAGTTTTAAGAATATGATACAGTTTTATTTCCTCTCCAGACTTTATTGTCTTTTTTATATTGCCTTTTCACTTAAACCCAAATGCTTTATAAGATATTTGAAGTACTGCATCATGTTCATGTGTGTACGTAATGTACGCGTCTCATGTGCATGGGTGTGTGTGTGCGCGTGTTGTATGTGTATATGAGAGCGGGTGGGGAGAGAAGGTAGGTTTCCTGTGCTCACACGTAGAAAACATACCTGCTGGCCCCAAGTAGCCTAGGAGTGAGTTTGCATGTGTCTGCGTCTTTCCTCACTTCGCTGTAGTAAACGTGACTTGCTAATGTAGTTCTCCCATGCCGTCATTACTAATTTGTTACTTTTTTCCATTTTAGACCTTATATAATTGTCAAGAAACAGAAACCAGCAGTCACAAATAAGCACATGGAAGAGCTGGCCCAGGGGTACAGGTAAATGACCGAGAGTAAAATACCTACATGCACACTCTGGTCAGTGATGGCATTATTCCTTCTGCGCTTTTAAGGAAAGTGTATTTTCATGTTTAGTCTCTTATCCTCTCTACCACCTTGTCAAAGAAACATCCTTCTCCATGTGAAGCCACTTGGACAGGGTAAAGGATTTACCAAGCTAGGTTATAAGAGTTACAGAGTCTTGCTGTAAATCAGTGCCCCATGGGATTTTTCCAGTCAGAACAGGACTTTCATCTGTATATTACATAGGCTCTATGGGTCTCTTGTCACATAGGGTTTCGAGCATCAAAGCCTTAGAGTTGGGATTCAGCTGACAAGAATCATAGCACATAGTGCGTGTATCTCAGGGATGTGTGACCACTCTGTGATCCAGAAGGGTTTGTGTCAGCATCCCAGTATGTTGACGCTCTCTGGAAGAGAGAGCTGCATTGGGCATGCTGTTAGTATACCTTCAGTACCTGCTGTTACTATGTGAAATGCTGCATTAAGACACTTTTTTATTGGTAATGTCTCTTTTACCAATGTTTTCCCAGGAATTTTGAGGATTTCTTACATGAGAGTCTGGTCGAATATTTAGATGTCAATGAAGAAAATGACTGCAACATTGCGCTCTATGAACACACAATTAACAAGTAAGTAGTATCCATAGCAACCCTAAGAGACGCGGCCTTCTCGCTCGTCGTCCTCTTCGCCCTCTGTCCTGTGCTGTCATGGTCCTCGCTGCTGGAAGCGCATGGTTTCCTAGTGGAGCACACCCCTTTGTTTACCCCAGTGGCTGACCGGTTATCTGTAGATTTAACTATCCTTCCTGTGCTTGAGCCACTTGATTATTTTTTTTAAAGGAATCACTTCTCTGTAATATCTGATTGCTGTGAAAAGTAAACTAATATAACAGGCTGTGTAAGAGATGTATTTCTGTCTTCCAGGAGGATTTAGTCTGAACTGTTACTGTCAGTCCAGGAATATGCGTAGTGTGTTTTATAAGGCTCTCCCTAAGCTCATACACATTATAAACGTGAAATGCTCGTAATAGTTCTCATAGAATAGCTATATTTTCAGAAGCGTCAGAGTTCCATTTGGAACACATTAGAAGACATCTATATAACTTGCTTTCTGATGACTAAGTACACTTACCTGAAGTTGGAGTTTTTGTAGTTGTTAAACAGGGAGTTTAATGTTTCCACCTGGGAACGATTTATATCTTCATATTGCTCAAGGCAAAAGCCTTGAGTTCCAACATTGACTCCTATCCCTCCATGAGTAGCCAATGCTGATAGTTTGGTATGTTCACTTCTAGATAGTTTTCTAAGTGAATATAGACATATGTACATGAACCCACATAACGGCTGGTATAAAACAATGATCATGTGTTTCTAGTGTCTTAATTGTTAAATTTAACAGTGTGTTATGGGCATTTTCCATATTAGTACATGCATTTATATTTGCATATATATGTATAAATTATTTTTGTTTTCTATTATGTTATCTCCCTACACACATATTGTTCATTTAGCTCATTCTGTCTTCATTACTTTTCTCTTGTTGCTGAGACAAAATACCTGACGCCAAAATTAAGGAAGGAAAGGTTTATTTAGCTCACAGTTTGTGGAGGTTTCAGTCCATACTCAGCTGGCTCCGAGGCAGGGTGGCACAGGGCAGAGGGCAACCGTTGAAGGCCGCACAAGACAGCAAAAGCAGCAAGAGTGCGGGAGGCGGGACACACACAAGCCCTTGATTCCTTGGTTGACGCAGAGTATCGACCATAACGCACTCCCTGTTGATAAATATTTAGAGCAGTGACGACAGACTCTTTAGCGCTTTCAGTGACGTGAATAGCCTGCTGCCGCACACATACCACAGGTTCACCACAAGTGACGTAGGTTGTTTTTAATTTTTCCACTACTGTTACTGTTTCTGTGTTTTGAGCCAGGGTCTCACTATACTGTTCAGACTGGCCTTGAACTCATTATGCATTCCAGGTTGGCCTCAAACTTATGGCAGTTCTCCTGCCTCAGCCTTGCAAGTGCTGGGGTTACAGGTGTGTGCCATCATGCCCAGCGAGGGATGCTCTTTTAGAAAAACCAAAACAAGCCCAGAGACCTTTCCCTCCTTGCTGACAAAGGCCTAAGGTCGCCATAGGATTGGGGCCCTGCTAGTCCTGAGGAAATGACATTCCCCAAACCAAGAGCTAAGGAAAAAGCGCCCTCAGCAAACCAGGGGCGAAATGTCGTACCTGTGCACTGAGGAAACGCTAGGTGGCCAGCCCGATGCATGGGAGGGCTTCCCTAGATGCAGGGCAACCACATTTTGGGGCGGCTGGGCCTGAAGACGTTTCTCTCCGCAAAGACTCTGGCCCAGGTGCACAGGCGCTATTGCACACGCGCAGGAGCGTAGGGCCGGTTGGGCCACGGGTCCTCAGCACAATGCCTGTTACTTTCACTGCAGACCTACAAGAGTCTGGCCACCCCTGCCTATTGAGACGTCTGAAGTGCTCCATCACTTAGCCAAAACTGAGTTTTCTGCAGAATGTACCATGAAAGTAACTGAGATGCTGACACCCATTAGGGAAAATCTTTGTGTCCAAGCCCGTAGTAGAGCTGTCCAATAAAAACCTAATACAAGCCCGATACAACTACAGATTCCTTAGTAGTCACCTAAAAAGTGCAAAGAAATGGTTAAGATTAATTTTAATATTTTCATTTAGTCATTATATCTAGCATGTAATCAGTATAAAAATACTGAGGTATTTACCCTCTGTTCCTACCACAAGTCCTCAAAATCTGCCACGCACATACAGCTCATCCCATTTCAGATGCTAAATTTTATCAGAATTACTCTGATTTCACAGCACTTTCAACAGAAAAAGTAGATTCGTAAATGGAAATTGTTCCAAACATAATTAAAATGTTTTAAATAATAAATGGAGTTATGTAAATTTAAATTTGAGTTTTAAATTTTAAAGTAATTACAATTTAGTAAAATTAAAAATCGGTTCCTCGGTTTCCCAGCCATGCTCTTGGTCCCTGTGGGTCCGTGGAGCTCTTCTCTCCAAAGCGGTGAGGAATCGTCCAGGGTCCTTGTGGACGGGGCTGGAAAGGAAGAGAGCTGGTCCGGGTGGGCGTCACTGCTACTGACTGCCGAGTTCACAGTCAGGACCACTGTGTGCTGTATGTCGTTGTGGGATTAAGTGTGTACTGCCATGCCTTATTTTTGTATAAGTAATTCCATACTGTTTCCCTTGGCTTGTATTTCAATCCCTAAAATAATTCTATTAGAAAAACTTAGGGAATTTCTTTATCACCCCTATGTAAGCGTGTTCTTGTTGTACCAGTTTTCCTAGGGTCGAAGTTCATTGTGTTAATAACTCTCTCGGGGACCTGGGTAATGCTGTTTGTGTGCCCGCTAAGAAACCCTGATGTCAGCCCTACTTGCCTGAGCTGTCTGCTTCTTACCTTGCTAGAGACACTACCCACCTGGAGATCGAGCCCTTCACGCTGCTCGGCGTTTGCGCGGGCCTCATCCCGTACCCGCATCATAACCAGTCCCCGAGAAACACCTACCAGTGCGCCATGGGCAAGCAAGCCATGGGTAAGTACGCGTACGTGTGGGTGGGCAGCAGGGCAGACGGAAGCCCCTGTCTGCTCGCCACCCGCGCATCTGAGCAAGCTGGCGTTGGAGCCTCGGGGCTCTCGGGGCTCACAGGGTCCTCCCCTGCCCGTGCACAGAACTTCTCCCAGCTTGCTCCCTTCATCAGAGTGACAGGTGGTAACTCATGGAATTATAAGAAAATAAATGTAAATTGTTAACCAGAAAAGATGGGAGAAAGAGCAGAAAAACTCAAGGTGGGGGAGGAGGGGCACCATGGGCCAGGTAGGTGGTGCACAGCACGTCTCAGAAGGCACCCAGGCAGCTCTGTACAACGGTCACCGAAGCCCTGACCTTGTCTCCTCACATGCACTGCCCGATCTCCCAAGAAGTGTTAGTCCAATTTCTGAGTTGAGTTTCTTCTATTTTTCTTCCCTTTCATCTCTCTACCTGTTAATTTATCTGTGTATCCATCCATTCGTCCATAGCATTTATTGAGCAAAACTGTAGAATAGACATGGGGCGGAGCCTGAAAACATGAGCTGGAGGCGTAGGCTTCAAGGGGTCAGGGACCGACCCATAGCAGCCATTCAGTCTCCTGCGGTAAACGCTGTGAGAGGAACAGCCGGGGTCTGAAGAGCTTGGAGGAGGCGTGATTAGCATGGGCTGGGCTGACCCGGGAGCGCGGTGAGGATTGGTCGGAGGGGATGGGCCTAGGAGCAAGCATCTCGCGAAGTCTAGGGACCATGGCTGGCTGGCTGGCTGGCATAGGGACCTGGGCGTGGAGGTGGGTACGAAGGGCTGTGTGGGGAGCAATTGGAGTTTGGTCTTGAAGATGATACAGAGAAAATTCCAGCATACTCCTCTAGCTCCAAACAAAAAACAAGTTTTGCTGATAAACCTTTTCTAAAGGTTTCTAAAGGTCTTTCAGGTCCGAATAAGCTTTCTCATATATGATGTGATGTCAACCTGACTTGTCCTCGCTAATTTTAAGGGACTTAAGAGCTTCGTAAAGAAGTGCTGAAAGTGTGTGGGAGGCGCATTGCCTTTGGGAGACAAGGACCATCAGTCAGCTTCCCTGTTACCAGCAACCAGCTGCTGCCAACTGCAGCGTGACAGCGAAGGAATCCCAGTTCCGCGTGACAGAGAGAGCGAGCGAGCGTCGGCGTTTCCGGTGTGTGCACTGCCCTGCAGGAGCTGGCTGGGAGTCTACCACACCGTTTACCTGAGAGGCCGGGGTGGCGGGGACTCGGAGCGGTCTCTGCTGTTCCCCCTGTTCCACCCAGCCGCAGCGCAGGGCGCTTCCCGCCCGGGCCTCTGCCTTGCTAACAAGTTGAAGCCTCTAGTACTGTGCGCTGTGTGTGCTGAAAGGGCCATCCCTTCTGCTGGGTCCGCTAAACCATTTTGTCTCATGCGAAGCCCCGCTGAAACAGTACACCTTTTGTGTGGAACCTCAGCGGAGTTAACGGAAGACTAATCACTCCGCTGTTGCTGAAGCTCCTGTCCATATATGTGAAGATCAAAGCAAGCACTGCAGCTCTCTCCCCCAGGGAAGAGAGGCTTTTTTTTTTTTAATAAAGAATAGACTTGAAGCAATAATATTTTTATTTTTATGACAACCCTCCCCACCAAAAAAAAAGCCACCTTTATTTTGCGGCCCAAGTGTCTGCAGTGTTGAGTTAGTTACCACACACAGTTAAGCAGGATCAGGGCGTACAGAAAGCCAATTCAGTGTGTGTAGAGTTCTTTTGTAGTTTCCTGTGTGAAGGTTTTTTTTCCCGTTTTGTTTTGAGTGTCATTTGCAATTCATTGTCTGTGTTTTCTGAGGTTGGTGTATTCAGCTGCTCTGACCCTGGGTCCTGCACATTTAGCTCCTTGGATACAATCCTCTGACGTTACTGCTGACGCTGGGCAGACAAAGGCACTGAATATCTTTAATTAAAAAAAAGCCTTTGTTACTGTTTGTATTATAAAACACCTGACTGGAAAGAAAAGCGTGGAGATAAAGGTACATTTAAATTTGGCACCTAGCATGGCCACATTTCTCTCTGGACACTGAAGTAGCTGCAGAAGTACTGAGCCGGGTCTCTTTGAAAATCACAAAGGGAGAAGCCACAGCAGAGCCCGGGTCTGAGAAGCAGACCCAGCCTTGGGACCGTGTGCACGCCTCGCTGTCTTCGGCAGCGACGGCCACTCTCCCATCTCAGATGGCGCCGTCCATGAACAGTCCGCGTCTCCCAGAGACTCGACTCCCAGTAGTGTTTTAATTGCCGCGTGTGTCCCTTAGCTCAGGTAGACAGTGGCTCGGCACCGATTCACTGCATATTCCAGCCAGCGTGGGAGACTGGCTGTGTTCCAACCCGACCCTTCAACGGCAACTTTACCATCCCACCATGAAAAGAACTGAGTCACCTTGGATCACCACAAGGATGGGCACGCAAGGAAGGGCGCAAAGCCCAGAAACAGCCTTGCCTCAGTCGGGAGGCAGAGCCAGTCCAACCTGGATTCAGCAGCGGGCATCCCCTTAACCTCAGGGCCTGGAGGTTGTTCAAGAGGTTCAGTTTCCACACAGCATCTCCCTGTGCGGCTGAGAAGGCCCTTCTTCCAGGACGTGACTCTGTGCTGGGACGAGGGTCACAGCAAGAAGCCCGTAGACACACGGTCCCCGGGCCACACAGCGCAGTGTCATGTGCCGGCGTGTATTAAGTGGCCACCCCCAAGCGGACAACCTGTGAGCAAGGTGGCTGCTCTCGTCCGCTCGGTCAGGAGCTGCGTCGGCCTGCCCCTTCCCCCCAAATTGCCGTGACTTGGTTGGTTTGCTTGCTTTTTGCAAGAGTTCATGCAGCCTCTGGTTTTTGTTTTCAGTAGATTCTGTTCCTAAGCAGGTAGATTTTTTTTCTGTGTTCTCCACTTAAGAGTAGGATAAGATTTATTGGAAATACACTGACATTATTGAGATACTCAAAACATATATGAAAATCTTCATAAACTGGTTTTCATTCTACAGTTCCTTCCTACTTGGTTTAATCTTTCTGTTTGGTTTCAGCATATTTGGCCTTTGTTTGAGGGCACACAAATAAAGGAAAAGAGGTATCTTGCCCAAATTACCCCTGGCAATTCTTTCTTAGAACTTTACTGTTGCTTAAAAAATGTTTTCAGAGCCAGGCATGGTGACACACACCTGTAATCCCAGCACTCAGGAGGCTGAGGCAGGAGGAGCATTGCAAGTTTGAGACCAGCCTGGGCTACAAAGTGAGCTCAAGGCCAGCCTGAACTGCATAGTGAGACCCTGTTTTAAAAAGACCAAAAAAAAAAAGAAAGTTTTTTAAATTATTGTAAATTTTTTTCTTCCTTCCTTCCTTCCTTTCTTCCTTTTTTTTTTTCCGAGACAAGGTCTTACTATGTAGTTCAGGTAGGCCTCAAACTCATGGCAGTCCTCCCAGCCTCTTGAGTGCTAGAAATATAGGCATGTGTCACCACGCCCAGTTTATTGCAGCTATTTTAGCTATAAGTTTATGTGGCGTTTCCTAAGACTAGAATGTCCACAGTGAACATTTAGGGAGTTAAAATAAAGTTTACTATATAGGTTACTTTTTAATTTTTTTTTTTTTTTTTTAATGTTTTGGTTTTTTTTCGGTACCGGAAATCGAACTCACTACCTTGCGCTTGCCAGGCAGGCACTGTCCGCTGAGCTAAATCCCCAGCCCCTTACTATATAGGTTAGATGGAGGCAGAATGAGTGATACTACAGGTTGACGAGCTGTATATTTTTATTATTACTGAACTGAACACCCAATAATGTTAATATTGGTCATAACGAATACTGCCACTTGAGCATCCAAATTCTGTTTATTTACTTAGTGCTAAGGGTTGAGTCAGGGCCTTGCTCACCTTAAGCTTCTGGCATCCATTTCTTCTTTTAACCACAGTAATAGTTCTGTGAGATGGAATGCATATTTTTTTTCTAAGAAGAAAACAGAATCTCACTTTGTTTAAATAACTTATAAAATGTTATATTATGTCGTCTATGCAATGTCATCTGTAAAACTTACTAAAAATTCTTCTCAGCTGAAACTAACTTCCCTCCTCACATTTTGCTAACCTTTCTGGATCAGCCAAGGTACCATCCCTGCTAGGCTGTAGATTATAAGTCCCTTGAAGACAGACTGTCTTTTTACTATGTCTTTGTACCTCGCCCAGTGCCAGTTTAGTAGGTGGTGTGGTAGGTACTCATGCTTCAAAGAGAATAATGAATCTCTGCACATGTTAAAATTGTTAAAGCAGGAGCAGATTTTCTGAAGAGAATTTAGAAATTAAGAGGGATTATGCAACTTACTTTGGCTTACTGTTAAGCCGCAGTAATAAGGACAGCATGGCATTGAGCAAAGGGTAGCCGTGTAAGTAAATGGGACAGAATTCAGAGCCCAGGAAGAAAACCCCATGTTTATGGGTAATTGATTTGCATTAGAAGTGTCAAACAGTCCATTGGGGAATGGGAAGTCTTTGTAACAAAACAAACCCCTGCATATCTATGTGGGGTAAAAGTGAACATCAATTCCTACCTTACAAAAATTAATACCAGTAGAACACAGCCTAGTGTGTAAGAGTAAAACTATACACAAAGAGGGAAACAGCAGTAAAATCTCCATGACTTCAGCTACTTGGGACTTCTTGGGACACAAAAATACAAACTAATTAACAAATTGTATTTCTCGAAATTAAGCTTTTATTCTTTGAAAGACAGGAATATAAAAATGTAAGCCACAGAGTCAGGGAGAATGCTTGCCTACACATACCTGATAAGGGATTTGTATTTGATGTATACAGGGAACTCTTCAATAATATGAAAAGACAGTTAAGAGACAGACAAAACAAAAACCAAAACCAGGCACTTCACGAAGTGATAGGTAACACCAAGAAGTGTGTGGAATTGTACCCGGTATACTGGGTTGTCAGGTAAATGCACGTCATAGCCTGTGAGGTGCTGCTACACATTTGTGACGTCAGAACAAGCAGCAAGGTGTACTGGGAGGGCTTGGCAGCAGGGCGCGCACGGCTGCTGGGACTGAGAGCGGGGTGAGCACTCGGGAGGACTCTGGGCTGTCCTTACAGTTAACCGTGCCGTTAGCCTGCCGCCGGAATACACCCCAGGCGTTCACCCAGAGGAATGAAAACGCAGACGGTGTGATGTTGGCGTCCCACTTTTACATGTCTGTCAGAGTTCATCACATTGTACCCTTTAGATGGATAAGTTTATTACCTTTGGTAATGATTAAGATTTGGAGCAAAGAAAGGAAAAATTGGGAAATGCACAAAACTTTATATTAACTTTAGTACATGTGTTCTGAATTGTTTGCATCCTTACCTTTTTCATTGTACCATAAGTAAAAACACTTCTTCCTGATTTTAACCTACATTTGTATACCTTGTGGTGCCAACTTGTGACTTAAGAAAGTTACTGTTAAGAAAATATGGCTTTGTCAGAAAGGTTATGTCCTGCTGATCAGAGAAGGTCATTGGAGGCCATAGTTACAGTAGGACGGGGTGACAGAAGGGAAATGCAGCTTCCAGCTTTCTCTCTTCACATCTATGTAAAGCCCTTTTTAGGCAAGCTGAAAATCCTCATGGTGGCATCCTAGTTTGAGCATGTGCTTTACATAGACAAGGCTTTTCGGTTCATTTCTTAGGCCATTTTCTCAAAAAAACTTTGCTTCTTGGCAAAATAACTAGTCAGCCATTCATAATTTTTTTAAAAAATTATGGGGATCTGATGGCATTTTGGCATTCTATGATACAGAAATCATAGTTTATTAGTATGACTCATTTTACGTACCTAGAGTACTGCTAAAAGTGTGTGTACATATGTGCTTCCACAAGAAAAGTTCTTTAGAAAGACTTTAAAGGGAAATTTCTGGTGAGATCATAAGCACCAAACCGGTGCTGAGAGGTTTTGCTGCTGCCTCGCTGTGCGGTGACCACGATGCCCGAGAACCGCAGCGGGGCTGCTGCACAGTCACAGCGAGGCCTGCTCCGGGCACCTGCCGTTCACGCCTCCCCGCCGTGTGATAATGCTTCCTCCACCGCAGAGGACACGTGTGGCGGCCCGAAGCCTCCTCAGGCTGTGCAAAGTACACAACTGCAGCTGAGCTCTCAACATAAATTTTAAAGGATTTCATGGAAAAGGACAAACCTATTGTCAGTGAACTTTACTATGATCCCAACAGCAGTAATCTTATTTCTAAAATAGTAAGTGACCTATTGCCAGGTACCCTGCCTAGTTTATTAGTTAGCACTAAAGTAACGTAAATTAATAGGTATTTCATAGTGTAACTTGACAAAAAGTTCATGAAGCTCAATTGAAATCTTGCTTTTCACAAAATCTGGATAACTTTTCTAGAGATTTAAGTATAAACACAGGAGTGATCAAAATACATGGTGAATTCTAGTTTCTCATGGTGGTCCAAAGACAAGTAAGATGAATATCAGCTTCAGAGATGTTAAAATTTGGAGAGAGGTGCATATTGAGATCACCAAAATATGTAAGTGCTTAGCCTTATCTCTTCCCATTCTGATGGAGTGATCAAAATACACAGTAAATGTCTAAATTTTAAAAATCTATTACAATAAAAGACACACTGCCAATGAATCTCCCTCATGATACCTTCCCTCACTTCACATGCGCGTATACTGTCATTCTTGCCACTTCCTGAAGGAATTGTGGCAGTCCTGTTTCGTGAGTGTCCTTTTAAGGTCTGATCAAAACTGTGGTGAGTGCTGTTGCTGTTGAGTGCCATGCAGCGGAAAGGCGGGATCTAAGAACATGACTGTGTCCTTATCCACCTTATGCGCCAAAGGTTTGATGGGACTTTGGCTGTTCCTCAGAGTCAGAATAACCGTAAAAGGGAAAGGTTTTGATCAATTCAGGGCATGAAGGCAGCCAGGACAGTACGACCACAAACCCTCAGGAAAGAGGACTCCAGAGCTGCTGCAGGAGTGGGTGAGAATGAGGGGTGTGTCTGAAGTGCGGAGAGGATTCTGAGGGGAGTCACGGTGATGTGTAAAGTGAGTGTTCACAGTATGTATCGGTCACACCTCATAACATTACATAAAAGGTAGAATGGCATTCTTCAGTGTAATTCATTTGACATTTATTGAGCATCTACAATCTCTGCACTGTGGATTTCTCTGATATACTTCGCCACTCATTATTTCTTTCAGTGGTACTTGTCAAGGAATACCCTATCATTTTTGCTGATTGAGGTTTATTTTCAGCCCTGAGTTGAAAGCACCATTGACTTAATGATAAGAGTGTGGAGAAGTTAAAGAACATAAGTCTGGAGTGTTGGTATCTGTTCACCTAGGCGAACCTCCACGAGGTGGCATGCGGATCCCTCGGTGTTTGGGTGTGGGCATCACTAAGAGAATTGTGCTAGAGAGACACAGCTCCCTGCTCTTCCTCGCACCAGCTCCTCTCCTCAGCCATTCAAGGGGAAAAAGAAACACTTAGGAGACGTTAAAGGGGCTCAGTGGCCCACACAGCCTCAGCACCAGGGCCAGCCTGAGCTTCCCCGTTCTTAGGTCTGTAGGATCAGTTATGTGTCTGCAAGCCCAAGAGACTGAGGAACCTTTGTTACAGCAAGCCACGACTCCCTGCGTGTTTTGTTCCCAGTGGACAGTGAGCCAGGAGTACCTTCCCAGGACCAGTCAGGCAGAATAGACCATCCCAACTAGGCTCTTTCTGGATTCCGTAGGGCAGTGGTGTGGACCTGCGGCACTCAGGCGGCAGCCGGCTGTTTGTATGGTTGAAAGTTGTCCAAGGTTTGCCATCACTGCCTTATGGGAAGGGCCCTTGCTGTCCCTGTTTATCGTATGTTTGGTACTGAGTAAATGTTTAATACCAGAAACTGCTCAGTAAAAGAATAAACTTCTTACCTTTCCCTCGATTGCCTCCTCCTCGTTCTGTTCCCACCTCCTCTTTTGCCTTGCTGGCTCTTTATGAACTGTCTGTCCATGCCTAAGCCCCTGATTGTGATGACTGCAGAGCCCCGTCCCCTTTCACTGGCAGCCAGAAGCAGCCTGGAGTGTAGCAGTCAGGCACGGGCTGTGGACTCAAGAAGGTACCTCGGAAGCACCAGAGTCCCTCAAGCAGGATCAAGTCTGTAAATCCAAAATGTTGAAATGATTTACATGAGTAAACCTCAAGTATAATTTTACAAACTGTATTAGAAAAATTACTGTAAAAAGTCATTGACCATTATCACGGTCTTGCTTTTGCAATGCTTGACCTGAAGATTTTTCTTATTCAAATTAGCAGAGTTAATGTGTTTATTAAGTACTGTATAATTATTTCAAATAATAGAATGTTGATTTTTTTTTTCTCCAATATTAATGAAGGTACCATTGGATACAACCAGCGAAACAGAATTGATACTCTCATGTATCTACTAGCATATCCACAAAAACCCATGGTTAAGACGAAAACCATTGAGTTGATAGACTTCGAGAAGTTGCCGGCAGGGCAAAATGCGACAGTTGCTGTGATGAGCTACAGTGGCTACGACATTGAGGACGCTCTCGTTTTAAACAAGGCCTCCTTGGACAGAGGTAAGAGGTTTCCAAGGCTCTGACTTAACACCAGAAGTGCTTTTTGCATAATTAGGTCATAGTGATTCATGTCAAAGTCATTTGGTATTAGAACACTAGGTTACAAGTGATTGGCTTTTGGTATTGGCTTTTGGTTGCTTGCTTGTTTGTTTTGATTATTAAATTGAGATAATTTGAGTGTGCTCCTACAGGATCTTTAGTTCCTTTCAAAGAGGAAAAAATCGTAAGAATCTGTGTATTTTCCAGTAGGAATTGCAGTGTGTGAAATGTTTTTTAAATATACCCGGTAATGATCCAGCAGGAAGCCTGTTTGAGAAAGCAGTAGCCACAGCCAGATGGGAAGGCTGTCTACTTACTGTGTGCCTTAGTACCAAAACCCAGGGTGCTTTTTTAATGAAATAACAGAAGTTAAGAACGTGCACAGACAGGCCCTGGCTTGTGGTTCTTGTGCTCTTCGCCTCCGCTTCCTGACAGTTTGCTTCTGCAGGTCCCCGTGTCCTACATGTCCGCCTCCCCTGCTCGGGCTGACTTCTCCTGGCTTGCTGTGTCCCTCCGTCCTCTGGCGCACACCCACTCTGCCTTCCCTTCCGTCCGCTGGTTGCTAGGCACCCGTAATCGCACTCCTAGCCATGTGTCATTGGTGTTAATGTTGGCTGCACTTAATTTATGCCTCTTTTCTTCCTCCAAATGACAACAGCCATGCTTTAAAACTAGACGTTTCCCTTTCTGATTCACTGGTAACGTGTATGTGGAAATCTGAAGGCTGGTGATGTCTGTCAGAAACCCCACAGCACGTTCGGACCATCCGCGTTTACCGTCCCCTTGCTTTTAGGCTTGCACCTGCAAAACACTGTGGGTTTACACTTGGCAGAAGGCACGTCTCGATTTCATGCAGTTCAGATGCACACTGCACCCCAGTGTGTTACAGTTAGTGGCTGCGTTGTGACATTTCCAGATCCTATAATATTCCCAAGCCCACGCTCCCTGAGCGAGTGTGTGAGGCTGTGCTCTGTCCATGCAGAGCCATGGTGACCGGCCAGGACAGACTCAAAGACGTGCAGGTGTCCTCACCCCCAGCCAGTTGTAGGAATCTATTCTTCCCACAGTCACCTTCGAATTTAAAAAATTACCTGAGGACCCAGGATTTATTTAGAAATCCACTTGTACCTCATTGACTTTCTAAACTCATATTTTGGGTTTCCTGGAAGGGCTCCACTGCAGGTGGAGACTCCTGGGGGTAGGGTTCACAGCTGCATGCATGGCCGTCTCACGACAGCAGCGTTTCACCCAAGATGGTTTCATTTAAATGAGCTGTGACATGCTCAGTGTGTCCGGAGGAGACTGGAGGGGTTCACAGTGTACAGGAGCTGCCCCGCCCAGGGGTAAAGGAGGAAGCGCAGACAGAGCCCCAGAAGGGCAGTTTGTGTTAACAGAATGACAGCTTTTCAGGTAACTACCATTGATTTATTTATTTTTGGAGATTCAGTGGTTGAGTCTGCCCCTTCCAAAGATTGTCTTATGTCCACCTTGTTTTTAACACATTCCCACCGGCTTGAGCCACTGGCAGAACACGTGTGACCATCCCCATACCACCGACAGCACCGTCATGCACGTACCACCAGTGTTTCAGCGTTGCCTGGAAGCTGGGTGTATGAAGTATGGCCCCCTCTTGAATATGTTAATGTTGTTCTTAGGATTTTTCCCTCAGCCACTAGATGAATCCAATCTAAAAACGTACTGACAGTAATCTTGAGGGCAAATATGCTATCTCTCCCACTAAGGTCATCTGGTTGTGCTTTCTCTTTAGTCTCTTCTCTAGGGAGAGATGATCATTTTGTCTGTTCTTTTGCTTGCTTCCCTGCTTGCTTGCTTTTTGCAGGCCACTCATAAATGTCACCATTACAGAAAGAGCTTTCCAGGGAAGTGAACAGAAGTTATGCACCGGAAGGACACCCACCGAGTGTCGGGCTCATCTTGCTGCCCACTTCCTGGGTGACGGTGGCTGCTTACTTTCTCTGGACTTCACTCCAGTGCCTGTAAAAGAAAGGGGGTCACCAGCTGGCATGTGAGGCCTTCCCCAGTTCTAATATCCTGGGGCCCAGTGCCACGCTTAGGTCTCTCCCCACTTCCTCCAACGTATCCAAGTGGACACCATGCTGGAACATGTGGAGACTCAAGCTTGTGTGGGCAGTAGGGAGGGAGGAGTCCTACGCCGTTGCTTAGGGTTATCAGTTTGTTTTGCGCCAATCTAGATGATCCAGAAGTAAAGCAGTGTTGGTTTTTTGCAAGAGCGAGGCGGGGTAGATTGTCGCACAGCAGAGATCCATGGCTTTTCTGGCAGTCTTGTATTTCTGGTACTTCTGACCCATCTTGGTTTCATCGTAGGCTTCGGGCGGTGCCTCGTGTATAAAAACGCAAAATGTACGTTGAAGCGGTACACCAACCAGACTTTCGACAAAGTGATGGGGCCCATGTTGGACGCTGCTACCAGGAAGCCCATCTGGAGACATGAAATTCTAGATGCAGATGGAATTTGTTCTCCAGGTAGTAGCTTTAAAAGATGAATTTCGATGCGTACTTTTTGGAATTGTGAATGTTATTCAACAGCATTTCTGCACATGCGGTAAATGGGACAGGAAAAAAATAACCTGTAACACACTATTTAGATTCAACCAGTGTGGTCATTTTTGACAAATTTCTTTCTAGTATGATTTTCTGCACATTATGTTTTTACACAGCAATAGCCTACTCTATTTTTTTTTTTTTTTTTTTTTTTTTGGTTTTTCTCCGGTACCGGGAACCGAACTCACGACCTTGCGCTTGCCAGGCAGGCGCTTTTGCCGCTGAGCTAAATCCCCAGCCCCAGCAATAGCCTACTCTAATTACAGTTTTCTAGTTCTAACTTTGAGTCACAGAGAAGCCACTTTAAGGGAAAGGAAGTGAATAGAGCCTTGTCCCTCTGTCCACACTAGTGTTTCTTATAAGCATTTTCCTTGCAGACAGCTTTAGAACCTTCCCTAACAAGTATTAGTGATTCCATTAGTGACGAATCCTGATGGATTTCTTGGTGCAGCCCACAGCCCTGCCCCACGGGTCCTGCCCGCTGGTGTGGGTGGCTGACGCTGACCAGGATCACAGGAGACGTGGCCAGTTGCAGCCAGCCCAGGGCCTGTGAGTAGCTAGGCAGCCAGTTCGTGGCAAGACGATTTATCTAGCGAGGAAGGTCAGCGCAGACTCCCCAGGAAGTGCGCTGAAGGACTGGAGCGTTGGCTGCTGCCATGGCGCAGGACTGCTCTGCACAGTGTGTCCAGATGCCCGAGCTCGACAGCTGAGTCACTGGCGAGAAGACCAGTGCAGTGGAAAGGAAGGAGGCCAGGGGCGTGGGGCGAACACGGGTCTGGAGCAAGGGAGGGAGAGGGGTGCAAGCTGAGGCCAGGCCAGAGCAGTGACAGGGTCACTGGACAGCAGTGTGGCAAAAGGGCGAGAAGGTTGAGGAGAGTCCAGCCGAGCGCCCCTGGGTGGACCCTGCATCATCTGCACAAGCTCCTTCTGCCTGGTACCTGGACGCCCAGCGCACACAGCGCCTGCATTGCCGTCCCCTCAGCCGTCGCTTCTCAGAGAGTTGCTCTCTCTCAGGGCCCGTCCGTGTGGCTTGGGAGATGGGCTCCGGCTCAGCACGGTCAGAGCCTGTCTTTGGGCTTACCAGGAAGACATGCAAAGCAAGCGTGGGAAGAGCAGCAAAACCAGAGTGTTTTGGTTTCCTCCTTGGCCGAGCTGAGTGGGCTGTGGATAAAACATAATCAACACCTGTTCTGACAACCTGAGATTCGAAATAGCTTTTGAGTGAGGCGGCACTTCTTCTGCTAACGTCTCCTAAATCACTTTCTTAGTTTTATGCACACCATGTTCTAATCCATAATTTTTCTTAAATGGTTTGTGAGGTCATGTATGAACCTATTGAATTCTAGTTCCCACTGTGTGGACCGCCATATCTTTCCCCTGTGTCTGAAGTCTGTGGACCAAGTCTGAGCACGTAGTGTATTCCCCCCAGTCTCTGCATTTTACACAGAGGATAAGGACACGTCTAACATGCTTTCTTTCCTTAGGTGAGAAAGTGGAAAACAAACAAGTGCTTGTGAACAAGTCCATGCCCACCGTGACGCAGATCCCGCTGGAAGGAAGTAGTATGGCCCAGCAGCCACAGTACAAAGATGTGCCCATAACGTAGGTACGGGCGTGCCTGGGAAGACATGCAGGAGGGCGGGAGACGTGCGGGAGGCCCTGCGAGCCGAGGAACAAGAAATAGCGCTTTGAGCGCTGTTACTGTCATGTACTTAGACCGATGCGGAACCTCAACCCAGCTGTGCCATCTCAGACCTTGTTGCCCGCATGAGGTGTGGACCCACAGGCGGGCTGCAGGTGGAAGGCACAGTGAGACGCAGGGCACAGGCATCAGGGTGCCGGCTTTGGAGGATCCGGCTGCCGGTTGCTGCTGCTGGGATACGGAGAGCTGGGAATTCATTCTGTAGAGAGTGATACGATCAGATTTGTGTGTCAGAAAATTAAAACACACTGGCCACAGTGTGGCATCAGCAGTGTGTTACCTCATGTGACCCTGTTTTCTCCTCTATGCAATGAAAGTGCTGGCTTGTTGGTCTTGAGACGTCCTTTCAGCTCTAAAGTACAGTAAAATGGGAGACTTAGTGAGACGAGCCGGTGGGAGTTACCACTGTGATGTGAGAACCGTTGGGGAGCAGGTGGTGGGCTAGGTCAGCAGGTCCAGGAGGGCAATTAGAAACCCTCAGCATCCGAGGGCGAGGCCCGCCTTGTGCAGGGACTGTGTGGGGGTGCAGCTGATGGAAGCCATGCCTTCGGCAGAGAGTCACGTCTGTGTGCAGAGACCTGCTGCAGTGTGGGTGCAGTGACTGCGGAGATCTGAGGCGCTTCCTTGAGAACTTCTCGTACTCGCTGACATCCCACGTGCTGTGATCCCATGCAGCTCGTTAAGATGAGGAAGTCAGGACAAGGAGAGGTCAGGTCACTTCCCAAGGTCGCACAGCTACAAGTGGCAGAGGGGAGATTTGAACTTCTGTAGTCTCGGTCCACGCCCTCCACCACACTGAGCTAAATGCAGCCGAGTCAGGGTGCTGTGACCTTGTCTGTGAGGGGGCCACACACCACCCTCGGAGGGTCCAGACCTGGCTCAGGGCGCCGGAGCACAAGCAGTCAGCATTGCTGGTGGTGCTGCGGGGTACTCCCCTCTGCCTCCTCCTGGTCCTTCCTGTCCTCCGCCATTTTGGGCATTTGCTCTGTTACTTCGTTTTCTGTCCTCCCGCACGTCCAGCCTGTTCCCTGTTGATCACCCACCTCCCAGACTTGGAAGTGCGCTCCAGTGCTTCTTACCCTTAGAGGAAAGGAGTAGCTTTTTGAGCTGTGGGCTTCTTTCTGGCTGCACTCCGTTCCCTCCCCTTCCCACGCCGCTCCTGAACGGGCCACCTCCATCTCTCCTGCTTTGCCTTCTGCCGGCTGCCTTCCCTCTGCACCATCCCTGCCTCCTGAGAGGTCGACACAGCATGCCGTGCGCTTGTGTCACTCAGGACATCTGGAGAGTGTGGTAGGTGCACAGGGCGGTGTGGGAGCAGAGCCACAGCAGTCCCTGTCCTGCACAGCTCCCATCCTGGCTGGAATCAGCAGGTACTTAATGGGAAGTGAGACCCCAGGTGGCCGCATCACCAGACTCAGTGGACTCTTCAGTCCCCGCCTAGTACACAGAGATGTTGTCTCTTATTTACTGATACCTTAATGCCCGGCATAGGACTGTCGTGTGTCCTGAGGCACCACCTGCAGGCCTCTGCTGACCTCCTGGCAGGCTCCTTGCTCCTCCTCAGCCAACCTCCTGCCTGCCTGGCCTGGGGTGGCCTTGTCCTGGCCGCACCCTTGCGCACCGGGTCTGGATGTACTCGCGGAACGTACCCTGCCCTTCTTTGTCACTGATGACTCGGGGACATCTGCCCGTGTCTGCTGCACAGTGGGCTCAGGGTGTATGCAGAGCCATCATGCTCCTCTCCCTACCCAGCCCCCAGCCACCTTCTCCTCCTGGGTCCCTCGCGGTGGTTGCTGGCAGCCAGACCTACCGCCTGCTCTTGCTGCTGCTGCTGCTGCTATCGCCTGGCTCCATCATCTGCCTCCGGGCCCCAGGGGAGCTTCCTTCTCCTGGAATAAATGGAGCAGCACCCTGATAGGGTGAGCTGTGGGCAGGCACCACAGGGCTCATACCGTCAGCCCTTGCCTCCCCCGCCTCACACCCTGGCACTGAAACCCCACGCCCTTCCTCCGGAGAGGGTAGCGTGAGCGTAGGCGCAGGAAGGCCCCCTCGCTCCACGCCTGTGCGCAGAGCCCGTGAGCCTCACCCTCAGGAGACCACGTGACACCTGCTCTGGGGGAAGCCCTGGGGGCATCATGTGGAAAGCTAGGCAGGAGATGGTGCTGCCCAGGGATTAACGGCTCGGAGCTGGTCGTGTCCTTGGGGGTCACCTGCCTCCCCTGTGACGTGGGAGTCCCAGTCCAGGACTGCTATGAAGACGACACTGTGCCAGGCCTTCCTCCTGCTAAGTCACAGGACTGTACAAGAGAAAGTGTGACTGTGAATTTAATATGTAAAAGGTACGTCGTTTTTTCAGAGTGCGAAAAGGGAGTGCTGGCCCATTTTGGGGTCGGATGAAATAGATGTGTGTGACACACTCAGGGTTTTAGTGACTTTCTCTTCCCGTCAGTTACAAAGGGGCGACCGACTCGTACATTGAGAAGGTGATGATCTCCTCCAACGCCGAGGATGCTTTCCTCATCAAGATGCTGCTGCGGCAGACGAGGCGCCCAGAGATCGGGGACAAGTTCAGCAGTCGTCATGGGCAGAAAGGTAGGCCCCCTTGCTGTGAGAGCTGAAGCTGCTGAAGAAGTAACCACATACGTAAGAAATGTGCCGTAACCGCCTCCCGTTAAAAGATCAGTGTACACTGGGCGTGGTGGCGCACGCCTGTTATCCCAGCACTCTGGAGGCTGAGGCAGAGGAACTGTGAGTTCGAGGCCAGCCTCAGCTACATGATGAATTCAAGGTCAGCCTGAACTGCATAGCAAGACCCCATCTCCAAAAAAAAAATCACTGTTTGAAAATTATGGCATTGTTACCAAAATTATTATTGCCTTCTTAGATCAACCAGTTTGTATGTTACTGACATTTATAAATCTGTGCTAGAATTGCTTCTCTGAGCTACTTCCTCTCTTCATCCTCTGCCCGAAATTGTAGTCACAGGTACATTCTCCTGTGCCTCCTGAGGTGTGTGTGACTGCTCAAAACTAGTGGCACTGACCTTTTTCTCACGTATGTTTTCAAACTGGTGTGTTCCGTTGGGTCAGGTGTCATAAGAGGTTACTCTCCAAGACCAGAATTCCCAGCCCCTTCCTTTAGCAGATAGATTCAGGCCGTGTGTGCAGCAGTCCGTCAGGTGCTACTGAGGTGCTCCTGGAATCCATACCTCCAACCCCAGAGCAGCTCATTGTCCACCCCGTGGTGTCCCTCTCGGCCTCTGAGCCCACTGTGAGGCTCTCCTTGGTGATGGTTACTGACCGCTTGTCACCCGTTTGTAATTTGATGTTGGTGTTTATCTTTGAGAAGCATCGCTTCTGATCCGTCTTGATGAACTTGACCTCAGTAGGGTCTTGTTCGACCAGTGTCTGAAGCGTCCAAGAGTGGGAAGTTTGTCCTGGGGCAGCACTGTGGTGGGCAGGGTCCTTGGCATTCCCATGGGCTGACTCTAAGTCTCACAGGGCCCTGGGAAGTAGGTACTGATCTTACCCCATCTTACAGCAGTTGAACAGAGGTGCAAGAGATAGATAATGTGCTCAGGGCCACACCGTCTGTGGCAGAATTGATTTTTGAGCCCAGGCAGCTGGCTGTGGAGTCTGAGCCCTTAACTCTTCAGCTACCCATTTGCAGAGCAGCTGGTGTCGGGCCTGGCCTCCCATCAGTGCTCTAGAAAGGGCTGCAGCTGTCACAGAAGTCGCTGTGTCCTTTTGACATGCGTTTGAGGTGCAGCTCTTCTACTCCTTAAGCTTAACTGTTACCACAGCTTCTAAATTACAAATGAGCATAATATTTTCTTATTTTTAGTGCAGTGGCGATAACTGCACATCATGTTCTTGTTGATTGTAGCTTCGTTTGCCAAGCGAGTGTGTCAGGTATTCCGTTTGGTCAGATGAATCCAGCAGCTGTCATTCTGCCAGTGAAACTATTTCAGACTCTGATACTGTTGCATTAACATCTTCAGTTCAGTTGGCAGAACCGGATTATTTTAGCCTATCTATGTTTTTTAAGGAAGAATTTGTTCCATCTGCTCATATAAAGGTGACAGCTCTAATTCACACAGCTCCTAATGCCTCTAAGTGTTGTTTAAAAATACACTGAGGTTCCCATGTTTTCTGCTGCTCGCCAGTGAGAATGAGCTCTGTCCTCAAACCTTTCCTCTTGTTCTTGATGTCTCCGAGACGTGCTCCTGAGTCTCTCTTGGTAACTGCAGCCTTGTCTGCTGTGTCTCCTTCACTCGTTCCCTGGGCGGGAGCACAGCTTGGTATCTTGTTACAAACACGGGCACTGGCAGCTTCAGGAGAAGCCTGCCCGAAGAGAAGAGCGCCACTCGCGTCAGTCTGTGGGGCTTGAAGTACCCCAGGTCCTTGGCTGCATCCAGGTGTCATGCAGAGTTGGAACTGGCCTCCATGCCAGTGCTGGTTAGCTGTGTCTTAGTTCCGTCAGCTTCTGAAGGCCAGAGCGCAGATCTGTGTGTTCTCCATGAGGTCTGGGGAAGCGTTTCTCATAGCAGCCTTGAAGGGGAGTTGGCCATGGCTGGATATCTGAATGCACAAATGAATCGAATGCTGGGGAGACGCGTGGGGCAGACTCTGCTCTTGGTGGGTTGCTTTCACTCAGGTGCTAATACACGTACGTGCACAGGCCCCGCAGCCCTGTAGGACAGATGTCGGCGTGCGTCCCTCAGACTGTCAGTACGAGGGGGTAACGTTCACCGACAGCAGTGGTTCCTAACGCACAGTGACCTGGAACGGCATATTTTAGGGATCTGTTCACTCGGGGGCTCTGCCTTACACGTTTCTGTATGAAGCTGCGAGGTCCTCCCGGGGTCGCTGACCTTTCACTGGTGCTCAGGAGTTTGTCTGGCTCGGTTTCCTTTTCCAGATGGCTTTTAATCCAAGGGTAAAAGCCTCCTGATTAGCCCAGGGTCCCTCGGTAGTCCGTCTCGAGCAGCTTCATCAGACTTAGTGAGAGTTCGGGAGGAGGAGCCGAGCAGACAGAAAGGAGGTAGTGCGGGCTGCAGCGGAGCCGCAGGGGGACGGCATGGGGCTCAGAATGACCTGCTGTGTGTTTCTTTTCAGCATAATTTTAATCAAATAATAATTGCACATGACTTCAAATGATCAAAGAGAACTTCAGAAAGGAAGGGTTCTTTGTGCTAAAAAATTGGATTGTCCAATTCGTTCTTCCCAAAGCAATTTCTTTTCATCCGTGCCTTCATATTTCTAAGTATTCTTAAACAGATAAGCATTCATTCATTCATTCATTCATTCTAGGTGTCACCTATCGATTTCCTGTTACGAAGGCTGCAAGGCCCTGCACTTTTCTCTCTCTCCCCCACTCCCTCTGCAATTTGGGGCCCATTCATTATTTAGATTACATTATTTTGACTGTACAAATAGTGTCTACCCCAAGCTAAGTGATTATATTAGTGTGTTTCCTTTGTGATATAATTTTCTTTTTTTTTTTTCCCAAAGGTCATAATTTTTCTAGATTTGGCTTTTGGGTTTTTTAGGAGGAGGTGTTTTGTCTGTCTGTTTGCTTCATCTCATTACTACTGCCATTGCTCCATACCTCCAGTGGCCTCCCAGGACTGTTTTCTGTTTGATCCACAGGGTGGGGGCCCCAGCCCCACGCACTGTGAGATCCCCCTGGGGAGCCCGGCTGCCACTGCTCCACACGGGCGACACGGGGTGGTGGTTCTGTGAGAGCTCCTGCAGTGTGTCTGGAAGTGACCGCCCAGGCGCCCACAGATGGGTCCCACAGCCCAGAACTTAGGGTGCTGTGTGGGGTGGAGAGCAGCTGTGAGCAGCCTTACTCTCTTGTGTGCTTCCCAGAGAGGCTGCTGAGCACTCTGTGGCTGCTAAGGCTGCCGTAACAGCGCCACAGATGGCGGCTGCCTCGTCCAAGGGCAGCTGCTTCCTCACTCCCGGAGCCGCAGGCCCAGAGCAAGGTGACAGCCAGGTCTGCGTCTCCTGAGGTCCCACTCCACTGTCTGCAGGTGGCCACCTTCTCCCTGGGTCTGCACATGGCCTTCTGTCTGTGCACACTTCCCTGGTGTCTGTCTGTCTTCCTCAGTGGATGCCACGTGCCGGATCAGGGCTCATCCCCAAGGCATTCACTAACCGTGGTCGCTTTCCAGAAGGTCCTGTCACCATGTGAAGTCGCAGGCCTACGTGTACTGGGCTTGGGACCCCAGCATGTGGAGCGGTGACCCGTTTCCTGGCACGCGTGCACGCATGCACTTGTGTGCATACATGTGGTTTCACTCTCGCTCTTCATCCCATCCCCTTTCTCCCGAAGCCTGTACTACTTTCTTCCTGGAATCCTAAGATTTCATGGCCCCTTTCCATTCCTTGTGCTGGGAAGGCGAGCACCCTCTGATTCTGACAGTTCAGTCCTTCAGTCCTATGCTGTTTCCTTCCCCATTGTCTCGCAGTGACCTCCTCTCTACACTCTCCGGAGCCTCTCTGGATTTCCTGTTGGTCAGGTATTGCATGGCTCTTCTGGAGGGATAATACGGTATTCTAACCTTTTTTCACACATCGTCCATTTCAGTCTTTTTTTTCCTGGGAGATTTGATCAACTTTATGTTCTGGATTTTTTTAAACTTATACTGTTAATTTCTAATTTAAAATATAAATTTATTTTCTTTTTATAGCAACATACTTTTGTTTTTTAGTTTTTTTTTTTTTGTCTTGTTCCTGATTTTACTTCCACATCTCAATCAGTTTTCTCCTTGTTAGTAGTTTTCAGAGTATCCGGTTTGTTGATTTGTCTTAGGCTCTAATGCCTGGTACACTCTTGAACCGTGTCAGACATCTGGAAGCACTGCGTCTGGGGACAGAGCCACAAGAATGTCACTGTAGGGTGCTCAGACGGAGAGCCACTGGATTGCTGGTGCCAGGCAGTGTCCAGCTGGAAGACTGGAGAGTAGGGTCTTCCTAACTCCTGCCTGGTGTTGGGCTGTGAACGGAGGTGGAGGCAGAGCCGGTTTGTCAGCTCATCTCGGGGAGCCAGGCAAGGGCAGGGGTCTGAAGCCCGCTGCGTAGCACACAGACTGTACCTAACTTCTCTGTGTCAGGCTGTACCCCACTCTGCCCTCTACTGTGCTTGCTACCCTTGGATCTGGGTCACTAGGAACCCGTCTCAGGTAGGGGTTGAGGGTGAAGGGGCATTTCCCGGCAGTAGGGATAAAAAAAGAGAAACTCAGGGATCTGACACGGCTTGTACAACATTTACTTATGCGGATATTTATTAAATACAACTTCTGAGTGTCTGGACTGTTCTAGGCCCTGTGAGAAAAGTTCCAGCCTTTGTGGGGCTTGTACTCTCACTGGCCAAAGAGAATGGCACGTCCTAGATGGAGTCTAGGGGTCCAGGGTGGGGCTGGGGCCGGAGATGCAGTTTGGGGATCACTTGCCTGCGGTTTATTCGCAGCCACTGTTGTTACTCCTACTGTCTGGTGTGAGGAGATCAAGGCTCAGAGAGGAGGGTAGCTTGCCAGACACAGATTGGTGTGGCAGAGCCAGGACTGGACTCCAGGCGTTTGATTC